AATCGGATCGCCGCGCCTGTCTCAAGCTGACGCCGGCCGATGCCAGTGCCCCTGATCGAATCGAATGGAATCGGAGTCGTGGCTCCAACTTGCAGATCGGATCGAATCGAATCGCATCGTGGGCGGCCCTGCGCCTTCACTCGTGTGTTCCCTCTCGAAGGGCGACATCGACCATACCCCGGTGACATCTGCGCTGATGGGCCTGTTCTCCACCACCACCACCACAAGTTAGGGAAGAGAGGGTCCTCCTCCTCCTCCTCCTCCTCCTCCTCCTCCTCTTCGTCCTCCTCCTCCTCCTCCTCCTCCTCCTCCTCCACTTCCTTCCCCCCTCCAACTTATGGTGGCACTGGTGGAACAGGCCCATCATTCGCCTCTCTGGACTAGCCAGGGCGGCGCACGCGCGCCGGTCGTGGGCCCACGAGGGGCCGGGCCGGACTCGGTGCGAGTTGATACTTACGTGGATGTCGTCGTCGGGCCCGGAGCTTTCCTTGCCCTCTCCTCTTCCTGTATCTCCATCTCCTCCTCCTCCTCCTCCTCCTCCCTCCCCTCTCTGCTCTCCCCTCGCAATGTTCGTTCAATGTTAACCCATTGGCTCGGGCCGCTGCTCCGTCCTCGGACGGCTTTCTGGCTGGAGCCCCCGATGTTGTCGCAGCCTCGGAGGTCAACAAACAGGACCAGGACACGGCCGATGACACAACGGCCCCACGCCAAGCCAAAGCTGGGCCAATGCGGCCAATACATGTCGCAAAACGGCCTACAGACGACACCAACGACAGCTGCCCTGTGACGGGCCCACACGGCCTCAAGGCATCACACGAAAGGCACCCCAAGGGACCCCGACAAATCCACCAACAGGAAAGACGCCAGACGCCGCGACGGCCGTGCAAGGGCGAACTGCGCCACTGGGACTTCGGTGGCGTTCCCTATGGGGCCACGAAGCGCTGTCCTGGATGGGGGAGACGCATGCGAACTGTGCCACTGGGACCTTCGGTGGAGCTCCCTATGGGGCCACGAAACGCTGTCCTTGGCGGCGGAGACGCATGCGAACTGCGCCAATGGGGCCTTCGGTGGGGATCCCTATGGGGCCACGAAGCGCTGTCCTGGATGGGGGAGACACATGCGAACTGTGCCACTGGGACCTTCGGTGGAGCTCCCCATGGGGCCACGGAACGCTGTCCTGGGCGGGGGAGACGCATGCGAACTGCGCCAATGGGGCCTTCGGTGGGGATCCCTATGGGGCCACGAATCTCTGTCCTGGATGGGGGAGACGCATGCGAACAACGCCACTGGGACCTTAGGTGGCGCTCCCTATGGGGCCACGGAACGCTGTGCTGGGTGGGGGAGACGCATGCGAACTGCGCCACGGGGACCTTCGGTGGAGCTCCCTATGGGGCCACGAAACGTGTAAGGGGTGTGCCGAAGCTGATGGCGATGATTGTGACGATGACGGAGATGATGATGACGACGATGGTGACTGCGACGATGACGATGATGACGACGATGATGATGCTGATGGTGCTGACGATGATGATGATGATGATGTTGTTGATGGTGATGATGGTGATGATGGAAAGAGGGAGGAGGGGGAGGAGGAAGGAGAGGAGCGCGGGGCACCGTCTCTTCAAAACGAGGACCCAACACCACAGGATGGTTGCGTGACGATGACGAGGAGGAGGGAGGAGGGGAGGAGGAGAGGAGGAGGAGAGGACGCGGTGCGCTGTCTCTTCAAAACGAGGACCCAACACCACAGGATGGTTGGGAAAAAAGAAGAAGGCCCCGAAAACTGTCGGTGATCTTTTGACCGGGGTCAATCCGGACCCGGGTCAGCAGGAAACCACAAAACTGCAATGCAGGAAAAAAAACTGTATCGCAGGTCTTCGCAAACCCTGGTCAGCCAATATGCGCGGCCGCCTCGCGGCCACGAGCGGCTCGCTAACCTGGGTCAGCCAGAGGGGGCCTTCGCAGGATCCTGCAGGATACAGCGCCCTTGCTGACCCTCGTTTGCACTGGCCCCCATCTCTTATGCCCCGAATCTGGGGAGGTATTATGGCCCCGGTCCTGAGATTCACCTCCCCTGGTCGTCACCTTCATCTTTGCCGCTCCTGAGGTGCCTTTTCCTGCCCCGAGGCCCCCCCGCGGCCATCTCGCGCGTGCCGCCCGCACCAAGGCCGCGAGCGGAACGGTCCTTGGCGCGCGGGGGGGACAAACAGTAAACACAAGAGGTGAAGCAAGAACACAGATGTTTATTCGCGGCGATCACGGGCATGATGGGGGTGGGTGGGGAGGGAGGCGGCAAGGGCATAAACTAACATCCTCTTCTTGCCCGGCATCACAGGATGTGGTGCGAGCCGCCATGCGGTAGTGCCCACGACGCCCTTGGAGGGAGCCTTGCAACGCGCTATGGCCCAGAGGGTAACATTAACAATCTCAAAGGTGGCGCCACAGGGGTGCGGCATGTTCCGTCCACGGGCGGCATGGGCTCCAACTTCTGCCGCTGCCTGGGCGCTCCAGGGCTGAGCGACATCCGTTGTCGGTGAGGCTGTCGGGGATTTCAAAAGTTAGGTCACCTAACTTCGATTAGGTCAGGCATGTCCTCGTAGAGGCGGATTTGGACCGACAGCTTTTTAAAGATACCCCCACCATATTCAAACATGATAGAAGATACTAGAAAAATCGTCCCCAGACAATGTTTGGCCTATTTTTGAATATTCCCCCTGTAGAGGGACAGGCCCGACTTACACTTCGCAGCGAGGCGGGCGCATCACTCGCGGGGAAGTGGGGCCCCCGAGCGGGCATGGCGGCCGCTCAGCACTCTCCTGTTCTGGGCCTCCTCGTCGTAAAGTGGAAGCGTTCTCGGAATGCCCGCCGCACCTTGTCGGTGAGGCTGCTGGGATTTTTTCCCTTAAGCCGGGCCTGTCCCACTACAAGGGGATGTTCGACGAGAAATAAAAAACGCCAAGAATTGTCAAAAAATACTCCAACAAAAGTCTGGGGACTATTGTTTGACTATGTTCTGTCCTTCTTGGGGCATTTTGAAGGTATTTCTTATTTGTCTTCGAGAATCCCCCTGTGGGGGAACAGGCTCGACAGAACCTCCCCCCCAAGACGGGACACCGAGCTGCGCGCTCGGTGCCCCGCGCTGCGCGATCTGTTGCGCCCCCCTCGCGCCGCGGCCCCTCCCCCGAGAAGGGCGGCCGCCCTGGCCAAGACCGCGGCGCGCAGGGCGCGGGAGCGCGAGGAGCTTCGCGCCCCCCCGCGGGTGATCCTCAATCGGAAGCCGGGCACCACTACAACAGGTAGAGGGACAAGGAGGAGGAGGAGGAGGAGAGGGAGGCGGCGGAGGAGGGGAGGACGAGGAGGGGTAGGGGGAGAAGCAGAAGGACGAGAGGAGGAGGAGTAGGTGGACCTCCCCGTACTCCTTCCTCCCCCGTCCTACCTTTGGTAGTGGTGGTTGGGAAGCCGGGCAAGGGCTGCCAGATCCGTGGCTGCTAAATCGACCTCCGGGAAGCGGTCTTCGTCCTTCCGGGAGGAAGCCCGTTGACTGTTTCGCGTGCCGCGCCTCATTCCGGGAAGCTGTTTTTCCTTCCGTGAGGGCCGTTTTAGCAGCCACGGTTTTAGCAGCCCTCGCCCAGCTTCCGACTCAACCTGAAGATTCTGCGGGGATCGGCTGCTGCTGCTGCGAGGGAGAGAGAGAGAGAGAGAGAGGAGGGAGAGCAGGAGGAAGGAGGAGGGAGAAGGAGGAGGAGGAGGAGGAGGAGGGTGCGGTGTACGCGGCCTGGGCAATTGAGAGGGATGTATTTTGGATAAGGCTTTCACTTGTCCAGAACTTTTAGAACATCGGAGGGCTTCTGAGGGAGATGGTGGGTTGTGCAAGGAATGAGCCTGCCTTTTTTTTTGTGCACGCTGCGTGGAAATGAACTCGAACCCACGAGCGTGACAAGACCCGTCTCAGGGTAACGAGATCGCTCGCTGCGTGTGCTGCGGAAAAGGGTCCCCCCCTCCCCCGTTTGCCCCTGAGAGGAGTCCGACCAGCCACGTCTGTTACCGGTGCGGGCTTCTGGACAGGCGTACAGCGGGTTGGAAGATCCACGTGGCAAGGTTCCACCCCGAAGGTGATGAGGTCAATGGTGCGGGCGATAGTTATATCCACATCCAATGCGTCTTGGAGTCTTGGGCTCTCTTCCCCAGAAACCGTAGACGCACTGGATATGGATAAAAATCTGGCCCCAAGAGGCTTGATTTTATCCATATCCAGTGCGCCTCGGCGTTGCGGCACCTCTTCCCGAAAAGTCCAAGACGCTCTGGATATGGATATAAGTACTGCCCGCAAATGGATGTGTTTCGGGTTCTGTCTGCATCTCGTGCGGTCGGGAGTTCCACACTGGGCTGCGCGTTTGTCTGCTGCCAGGGCCGCCGTCCTGCCTAGCCTATGGGTGCGTCACGGAGATGTGTCGGCCGTGCGTGCCCTTGACGCGCAGGAGAGCGCCAGGCTCAGAGACTGAGGAGACTACAGTCGGGGCGCTGATCAAGGAACCCTTTTCATTGGGGAGGGGCTCCGTGTTCCTTCATTAGTTCGCAGCTTGCCTTCGGTTTCCCTTAGGTCTTCGATCTGAAATCGAAGTTTCACTTATGAAAATAGGGGCCTCGTTCCTTATTTAGGGTTCCTTAAGTCAACGCCCCGACTGTACTGAAGGAGAAGGCGACCTTGCCTGCCCAGCGTGTGTGCATGCCTACTGCTCGCCCTGCTGAATCTGACGGCCCACGCGTGAGCCCCATCTTGCTGAGGAGGAGGCTGAGGGCTAGGACGGCAACAATGACATTGATAGAACTCCGCTCGGTCCACTCGCCCATAACTTTTATATACAACTCGATCCGTTATTATCGTTCCAGCGCTGCCACGACTGTGCCAAGGATGTTGGCAGGCGCCGGCGTGGTCTCCCCTCCTTTTCCTTCGATGTTATGTTCCCTCCGCCCTTTGTCTCGCCTCCACCCTCCCTTTGCACCGTTACAACAGGGGTACCTTGGCTCTCCCACACGTTTTGTGCATCCCGCTGAGTAAATGAAGGTTCGTGCTAAAGCCGAAAAAAATTGGGGAACCAAAACGTGGGTCCTGGGATCGAGGAGGTTTGGGCGAGCGAGCGAGCGGCTGCATTCCGCCCAGGAGGGCGGCACCTGTGGGCGCACTGTCCCGGCGCAGCCAGCAAACAAGGGGGAAAAAGAATAGGACATCAGCTGACTGAAATGCCTTGCGCGGGTCACTCACGGTCACCCCACCTCTTGCGGTGTCGACCCACCGGTCTCTGCGCGACAGTGCGGAAGAAGGGCTTCCAGTTCAACAACTTCGTGTTCCACTTGCCCCTCGTGTCGCTGGAGGTCGCAGTGAGAAACTTGTCCTTGCGCTCAGCTTGAATAGCTGCCCAATCCTGCCGTCCGAGATTCCGCATGTACCTCTCACACTCACGCGTGAACCGTAAATACCTTGGGTGGAAGCCAAAGAACTGCCGCACTCGTACCCGCCTGTTCTTCAGCAGCTCGTCGCTCCAGCTGCAAGCCACAAGAGGGCATCTGACATCAGAGCTTGGCAGCATTCAGAGCACGCACGTGACTTGGGTACGGTGGGATGTCATGTATGGGAGGAGGCATGTGCAGCAGGAACAGCTGCGTCAAGACGCACAAGCGTCGCAGCAAGAGCAGTTGCTACACAAGGCCACCGCCGCCGCCGCGACGGCGGCGAGAGCGGCCACCACCGGCGAGCGTGGACCCCGCCGTCGCCACAGCCTCCCCCTCCTCAATGGCTTCTCCACCTACAGTATGGGGCCCGACCATGAGAAACCTTCCACAAGAAACCCAACTTTTGGTGCGGCAGCGTCACGCGTTCCATCGCAAAACCTTCGAACCGAATGACACCCAGGGCACCCTGGTGGCAAGCAGGGTGTTTCTTGGCATGGGCCCCCATTGTACCTTCCACGTCCACCTACCTTTAAGTCGGGCGTGTCCCCCTACAGGGGAATTTTCGACGAAAAATAAAAAAATACTCCAAACATACACCAAACATGTAAAAAAATAATCAGAAAATAATGCCCAGACTATGTTTGAACTATTTTTTGGATTGTTTTTGGAGTATTCTTTATTTTTCGTCGAAAATCCCCCTGTAGGGGGACAGGCCCGACTTAAATCTACCTTCCTCGCCTCCCCTCGATGAACGCGAAGACCCCCGAGCGCCGCCGGCAGCCACGGCGCCCAGTGGCTCAGGGTGCCCGATGAGGGACTGCGGGCTGGGGAGTGCGCCCTCTCCCATGCGCGCCTGCACAACCGTCGAGCCCTGGGACACACAAATAAATACACACAAAGACACAGATTCCCCATAGTTTCCAAGATTTTCTTGGTTTTTGTCTTCCCTCCCACTTCGCATGTTTTCCCATATTTTCTGGGAAATCGACGATTCGTTGTGTCTGTGTGTTTCTTTCCCTCCTGAACAACCGTCGAGCCCTGGCTCCCCGATGCCCCCCCAACGCCTCCTCTCCCCCAGATGCAAGGTCACCGAGGAAACTGGGCCTGCCAGTGGGGAGGGTGCGCTAAGGGGGTTCATCAGACTGCCGGGACTCCCCCCTCCTGTTCTTCCCCTCCCTGTCGTGCCGGCTGCCCTCCTCTCCGCCTTGCCTCCCCTCCCTCCCCCAAGTGGGGTTGCCCCCCCTTTCGGTCAGTGGCGCCACTTCACGTACCTTCCCTGCGAAGCAGGATTGGGTTGACCGCCTCTTGTAAGACTATGCGGCCCTTGGGGATCAGGAATCAGGAGGAGGAGGAGAAGGAGGAGGAGGAGGAGGGTTTGGTTGGGTTCGTCTTCCAAGACTATGCAGATTTTCGCAGTGAAATCAGGAGGAGGTGGAGGAGGAGGGAGGAGGAGGAGGAAGCAGAAGGACGGGCAGGACAAGCAGGAGGAGGAGCAGGGAGGAGGAAGAGGAGGAGAAAGGGGAGGAGGGAGGAGGAGGAGGAGGAGGAGGAGGAGGAGGAGGAGGAGGAGGAGGAGGAGGAGGAGGAGGGAGGAGGAGGAGGAGGAGGAGGAAGCAGGAGGACGGGCAGGACGAGCAGGAGGAGGAGGAGCAGGGAGGAGGAAGAGAAGGAGGAGGGGGAGGGGAGGAGGGAGGAGGGAGGAGGGAGGAGGGAGGAGGGAGGAGGAGGGAGGAGGAGGAGGGAGGAGGGAGGAGGAGGGAGGAGGAGGAGGAGGAGGAGGAGGAGGAGGAGGAGGAGGAGGAACAAGGAGGAGGAGCAAGGAGAGCAAGGAGGAGAGGAGGAGGAGGAGGAGGGGAGGAGGAGGGAGGAGGAGTGGCGCGGCGGCCGGGCGTGCAGTGTGCGAAGGGCGGCAGGCACGGGCCCGTCCTGCACTCCATCGCGGACACGCGCGCTCGCGTCGGCCCCGCGGGGCCCGGCCGCCCGCGGTGCCACCGCTGCGGGCCGAGTGCCTGCGCGCGCGGCCGCGCGAGGGACCGCTGCGGGAGGCGCTGCGCCAGGTCGATAAAATACGAGATCCAGACCTGTCTGCGCACCTCCCCATCCACCTCCTCCTCCTCCTCCTCCTCCTCCTCCTCCTCCTCCTCCTCCTCCTCCTCCTCCTCCTCTCCCTCCTGGCTGAATCCGCGGCCCCAGCACCAACTCTTTTTTAGAACTGGTGTGCACCGGGGCCAGGCGCATCGGCCGGAGGTCCGCGAGAAAAAATGGCAAGGGGGTGTGTCTATCCAGGTGTTTGTTGACGCCCGGATGGCCAAAGACCGCCCGGGTACCCGCGACACACACCTAAAAACAATGCATACAGGGCGGCAAGGTGGAGGGAAAAGGGAGCGGGGAGCAGGAAGGAACCGGAAGGCGGAGGCGACGGACGCGCGGCGGAGGGGCGCGACTCGCCCGACCCCCCCTTAGGCGCGCGCGCGCGCCCGCCGGAGGCAAAGGGCGGGGAAGGAGAGAAGGAAGAGAGGGAGCGGGGGCTGACCAGCAAAAACTAAGGAACAGCAGAAGACGTCAACAACTCTGGGGGCTTCGGGGGGCTCTGGGAGGTCACCGGCGGATTGCGCACTAGCTAACTGCCATGGGCGTGCGGCCCTGGCGCTGGCAGCGAGCAGCGAAGCAGCGACGCCCCGCTGCAGCGGCACGGCCAGCCGGCAGCGGAGATCGGCGAGCTGCTCTGCTCGCCAGGGGCCCTCCGGCAAGACCGAGCGCGCCCACAGACGGAATTCGCGCCCCCGCCGCCCTCCTCCTTCGATGACGGCAGGCAGCAGCTCTGCACCGGGAGAGCCCGTGTGCTTTGTGCGCTCCAGATCAAGCAGCTGCCAGGCCTGGGCGGCGCGCGTGGGCCCGCGCGGCGCCGGCGTCGGCCGACGTCGCCTCCGTGACCGACGCGTCTTATACACGAGGGCCCGGGGCCTGCGGGGCCTCTGGGCACGACCGCATTGAGCACCGCCCGTGCCAAGCCGTCTGCGCCTGGGCGGCCCCGCCGGGGCACGCGCTGCTCTGCGAGGGCATCAGAATCCCCGCGGCGCCATTCTGCGAGCCCGTCGCGGCAGCAAATGCGGCCCCGCGAGAAGCCAGGCCCCTTCTCGCAGCAGGCCCCTTCCGTAGCCATTTTGGCTCAAGCCTTTTCAGCTGGCGGGCAGAGAGGGCAGCGCGCGCCGGCTCGGTGTGCCATGGCCGCCCCCAGCGACAGTGACGATGCGCCCTTGCTGCCAGGCCGGCCTCCTAAGCGCCACTGCCCCGAGGCGGAGGCGCGGCCAGAGCCGGAGACGCGGCCAGTGCCGGCGCCGGAGGCCAAGCGGTACGACGAGGCGGATGAGGAGTACTACGCCTTCGAGCCTCCCAGACAGGGGCGGCAGGAGATCCTGAGAGCGCTCGCTCAACTCTTCGCGGTTCGAGGCCAGCACGTGCACAGGGCAGATTACGATCTCCCGGATCGGCAGCGCCTGTCTCTCGAATCTCTGCCATTCTTGGATAGTGGGTACACCAACGGCCAAATACTTCGAGCTACCAGTCTTGCAGACGAGTTTGCAGCCCCCTGTTCGGGGGTCCAAGATACGATTATGGACAAGTTGCCGGCAAAGTTTAGATGGACGTTTGCATATGCGTTGTCAGTCTGCTGCGCGCTTGCTTTTGCCAACGTAGTTTTGGATGACTTGTCGGAGCTTCGAGGCCAGGGACCGCGTGACATCATCCGGCATGTGGCGGCCAAAATGTCGCACCCCTGCCAGATGTTCGCGGTTCACTCGGTATTTAGCAAAAGGCGGTACTCTGAGTTGAAGTCGCTTTCTAAGGAAGAGGCCCTCGATCATTTAGCAAGGCGCGATTATTTCGTGGCGGAATCCATAGATCACCTTCCCCTCCGAAATGTGGACAATAGCGTGCGCTCAAAGGCTGAGCTGATGTTGTCGCTGCACAATGCATCGGCTCCATCGTTCGGCTTTTTTGTAAGAAAAACGCCTGGAGGATCTACACCAGGCACCGCTACAGCAGACTTCCCCTGAAATCCAAGCGCCTCACGAGCGACTGGAATTACCACATGCTTGTTGGACCAGGAGCACGAAGATTTCTCAACCAATACTTTGGCTTCCCAACGAAGCTACTGGACTCGTCTTCCTCGGAGGGCGCCAGAACCTTTTATGCTACGCTGTTGCGGAAGGCGTGGCTCGCTTACAGAGCGATAGCGGGTTCTCTTGTCAATGAGTTTCGACAGAGTGGCGATCTGCCAGCGGCAGAAGCGTTGGAGGCGCACATGACCAACGCCCAAACCGTGGATGATATGCAATTCTTCTGCCGTGAGTTTTCCAAAGCGCTTCGGCTGCACCCTTTGTGCGCCCACCAGCGGGAGTCCTGAGAAACATTGTCTTTGCTTGTTGCCCTCATGTGTCACAGTTGCGTTCCCACGTCTGCCTACATTAGCATGTTCTTCCCCAAAACGTGCAGTGCCAATCTTGCGGTCGTTGGCTCGTGTCATGATGGGGTCTTTGTTGTATGTTGCGAGCATGTGTATCGCCGGCCGTCTCTCGGGCAACTCAGGTTGGCCCGGGTGGTTCCGGTCGTTGTCGTCGTCGTCGTCGTCGTCGTCGTCGTCGTCGTCGCCGTCGTCGTCGCCGTCGGTGTCCACCGTTAACCTCCATTTCTCTGATGGTGTAACTGACCTGTGCCATCCCCGTTGCTTGGACCTTTGTCTCTACGTGAACATATATTTGCCTCGTGGGGTGTGCGGTGTTGCGTGCCAAGCTCCGGTCCTCTCTTCTTTTCTCTTCGCTCGGCGCCGCCGCCGCCCCCTGCTCCGGTGCCGTGCTGTGCTGTTGCGGTGCCGTGCCGCGTCGTGCCGTGCCCCTGGTGCCGTTTGCTTTTTGCTGGGGGTGGGCTGTGCCGGTGCTGTGTCGTTGGTCGCGCCCTGCCCCGCCTCGTCGTGCCGCGTTGTGCTGCCCCCCGTCCTGTGCTCCACTGGACGTCATTGTTTTAGATTGTGGTGCTCATATGCTTCCGGCTGTCTGTCGGGCAGCCCCTGGCTGGCCGGGAGGGGGCGGGCGTCGTCGTTGCCGTTGTCATGTCAATGCCCCACATGGTCAGCGTGGCTGGGTATGCCGACGTGCTGTCGCCTGTGACGTTGTCGCAGGTTGGGAGGATGTCGGCATCACCCTCGCAAGCT